ATCAACTTTGTGACATTAATTCATTCAGCGGTCATGGAGTAGTGTTATGGAGTAGCTATTGTGTTTGGGGTTGGTAGGATCTGCAGTTGACCCAGATGGTAAGGTATCTTCTCCTAACAGAGTGTCTAGGGGAGATGTATGAGTCCAGCAGGCAGGAAAGAAGGGGGCCTAATTTCACTCACTTTTGAATGGTCACCAAAAACTTCATGTAGAGGAAGAATTTTCAAACATTTTAAATATGTGGGTAAGGGGACCACTTCGAGGGCGGGAGGAAGACACTCTGGGAATAAGCTGTCAGATTGGCAAATGAACTGATTGGATTGAGACCTTATATCATTTTCTAAAATTAAGTGTGGCCAAAAATAGTTGTTGTTGGGTGTATGGGAAAGAGGATCTCTGTTTGAGTTTTGTGACTGTCCAGCAGGGTGGGTGTCCACTTGGCTCCCTGACCTCTGTCTTGGACCACACCTCTGCTCTTCTCAATTTCCATATCAGCTCTGTTCAGTCCTTTTATGCTTATCTTAGACTTTTACGTAAAATTTCCTCTTTCCAGTGACATTTTTTGTTCTTTGCAGAGGATACCAGGATCTGCCGGGTCAAATTTTTTCCCCTTAGTTTTTCCAAATGTTTCCATTTGTTAGCTAAATATTTTTTTTAAGCAATTATCAGGTGCTGTTGGGGCATTCACAAATTATAAAACAGTCACCCTAACCTGACCAAGGGAACAAAACACCATGCCATTAAACAACAATTCAAGGTAGCCATGGGACCAAATGCCAAATATATATATTGGGCAGGAAATGTTTCAGGGATTTAATGGGGAGAGAGATTATACTAGGGCTGGAGTCCACACTGAGGGCCTCATAGAAAAATGGCCCTTCAGCCTAGATAGTAAGAGAGTGGAGGCAGGGAGGCTCCAAGACACCTTTAGGCAACATATCCTCTCTAGAGTTTCACAAGTGAAGAACAGTAAAAATAATGTCTAGCAATTAAAAGCAACTTATAATTTACAACTTCTTTCACACACACCATATATACTATTGGATTTGACTTGTGTCTGAGACAGATCACAGAGACTTCTGAACATCAGTTACAATCTAGAACATGCAGCAAATGTACATGGGCACCTACCTCCAATAAGCAATTTTGCATATCTAGTCTCATTTAACTCAAGGAATAATCTCGTGAGATAGATGTTGTTATCACCATTTTACACGTGAGTAAATTAATGGCAAGGAACTTCTCAAGATCGCATCATTAATAATAATGGTAATAATAATAATAGCAATTACACACAGTAATTACTATGTGCCAGACACTTTTTAAGTATGCTTAAAACAACCAGACGAAGTAAGAACAATTGTTATCCCCTTTTTTAGATGGGAAAAAAACTAAGTATAAAGACATTTAAAAATTTGCCTAATGTGTATAACTAACGCTTGTCAGAGACCAGACTCATGAATAATTTAGGCTGCCTGGTTTCAGAGCCCAGCCTCTGAAGCCCCAACTCTAGAGCAAAGCTGCCAATAGAAATATAATGTGAGCAACCCACATAGTTTTAAATGTTCTAGTAGCCACATTAAAAAGTAAAAACAAACAGGTAAATTTTGTTTTAATGTTACATTTTATTTAGCCAACATCCCCAAATATTATCATTTCAACTTGTAAGGAATACAATTATTAGTGATATATTTTATATTCTTTTTTATGTGAAATCATCTAAATCCAGTGTATATTTTTAAATTAGCAGCACATTTTAATTCAAATACTAAATCTGCATCAGAAATACTTGCACTGTATTTATATTTCACATAATATTTAGTTGAAAAAATAGATTCACATGCCCAATTTATTCCCAACATACTTAACAGTTTTCTAAAAACTGAGTTGAGTACCAAAAATAATTTTCTTCTCTTTTAATATTTGCATCCATACTGTGAAAACTATTTATTTTAGAAATGTCTTTGAAGTAAAACCCCATCAGTTTCAAAATTGTGTCTCTTAAGGAATTCATTAATTTTTGTGTCAACTCAGTAATTTATTTTTATTGTTATTTTGTTAAAATCCTGTGAATTAAACCCAGGGCCCCATGCATACTAGGGAAGTACTTTAACACTGAGTTACATTCCCAGCCCTTTTTAAAATTTTTAATTTTAAAACAGGGTCTAACTTAGTTGCCCAGGCTGACCTTAAACTTGCATTTCTCCTGCTACAGCCTCTTGAGTAGTTGAGATCATGGGCAGGCACCACTGCACTTGGCCAACTCAGTATTATTAACATTGTCTTTAGCTGGGCATAGTAGTGCACTCCTGCAATACTAGCAATTCAGGAGGCTGAGGCAGGAAGATCATAAGTTTGAGGTGGGCCTGGGCAACTTAGGGAGCTCTTGTCTCATAATAAGAATAAAAAGGGATAGGGATATAGTTCAATGGTAGAGCACCCTAGGTTCAATCCCCATTACCACAAAAAACAAAACAAACAAACAAAAAAACACCCATTGAATTCAAAGGGTACTACAAAATTGAAAAGCAACCATAAATTCACCAATATTATAAGGTGTTCTAAATTTTTTAAATCTTTGATACTAATTTGCATAACATTTTTATTACAATGAAAATCTGCATATTAATTCATGTTAGGTGAATGTGTAAGGTTGCTATTGATTATATTATAAAAAATTTCAATTTCAACATAAAGTCTTGTACCTGTCAAGCTAGGTCACAGATAAACTTTTCTTTGCCTTGGAGCTTCAAATTTAGTTCATTCATATGCAGTGTCATGATATCAGTGAGAAAACATAAATCACACTGCTGTCTTCGATTATTGATTATTTGGTTAAGTCTTCCTTTTGTTTCAAGATAATCTTAAGTAAAAATTAACGATATAATAGTTTTTTAAAAAATCCTTCACTACTCAACTAATGAGCATTGGTAAAGAGCACAAGGTCATTGGATTCATTTTCTTCTATTTCTTTCTACAACGAGATGATTCATAACATTTTCACACATATAAAACAATTTTAACAATATTCATGAAACTGTTTAGAAAGATGAACACATTTAAATATCTTTAAGATGTATCACTTAAAAGAGGCAAATCAATAGACAAAAGATCAGCTTCTTGCTTTAAAAATACAATAAATCCAGATTTTTGATTTAACATAGCTAGAGAACTCTTGATTATGACGGGAGCTATGTTTTTCTTATTTGGCTGAAAATTTTCTTTGGCATGTGTGAAAGACGAAAATATTTATATCATTGAATTCAATCTTTAGGCTGCAACACAACAAAAAAAAATTTTTAAGTTTGAAAGTCCTTTGAGACAAGACATATTCAAAGTATTAATTGGGTGGTGTCTCTTATATCTCATGACTCCTCTAAAGTTGAAGAAAATCCTTGCAATCTTTCAAAATTTGAATCAGTTGAAGTTTGATATTGTTAGAAATACAAAAAAATTTGACATTGTTAGAAATTGTTTTATATTGTTAGAAATACAAAAAATTTTGTATTCAATGAACAATTATTTGTTTGCATAATTGAAGAGTTTTTAGGGCTTTTTTTCCTCCTCCAGCTTTATTAAAGTATGATTGACAATTAAAAATTACGTGTCAAGTAAAAAAATACTTTAAAAATTTCAGATGTTCTATATGAGTTATTGATAAACATTGTGAAATGATTACCAAATAAAGCTAATTAACACACCAGCACTTCACTTAGTGATCCTTATTTTGTGTATGTGGTGAGAACACTTAAGTTCCACTGTTAGGAAACTTCTAGTGTACATCATTATGAACTATAGTCACCATGCTATACATTAGATCTCCAGAATTTAATCATCTTATAAGTGAAAATCTGTGCCCTTTGACCAACATCTTCCCATTTCCCTAGTAACCACCATTCTACTCTGTTTCATTATGAGTTCAACTTCTTTAGATTTTACGTATAATTGAGATAATGCAGTATTCGTCTTTGTATATCTGGTTTATTTCACTTAGTATAATGTCCTCCAAGTTTATCCATGTTGTAGCAAATGGCAGAATTTCCTTATTTAAGGTTGGATATAGAAAATTACATATATAAAATATACATGATTTATGTATAATTTTGAAAATTAAATATTTTATATATACTTAAATATTTAAATATGTAAAATTATATATTTTATATACACATAATTTTCTTTATTCACTCATTTACCAATAGGCATTTAGGCTATTTTAATATCTTGCTTCTGTGAATAATGTTGCAATGAACAGAGTCCAGATATCTCTTCAAGATAGTGATTTCATTTCCTTTGGATATATACCCAGAAGTGGGATTGCTGGACCATATGGTAGTTTTTCTACTTTTAATTCTTTGAGAAACCTCCAAACTGTTTTCCATATTGGCTGTACCAAGCTTTCACTATTTGTAAAATATCTTACAAGCTTTTTCTCATACTTTTTCCAACAAAATTTCCATAACTAAAATAGTAATTTCTTTGACTACCTCTCCATCTAAAAATAGTTCTCTTTTTGTACAAGAATCCAAGTCATCTTATAATTGGCCAACATTATAAGCTCAGACCCTGCTAAAAATTGTTTAAAATATTTGTTGGACATCTAATACTAATTTCAGGCAACTAATATTGATTCTGTTTTAGCTGTTAGGAAGAAACATTAAATTCACTGTGTTTGTTGGAAATGTCTCCTGCTGTTGTCTACTTTATCTTTAAAAGATTTTTATAAAACAGCTTCTTCTTCATTTTGCTTTGCTGCAGCAAATTGCAACTGCCATCTGTCTAAGTCTGTTTTCTGCTGCTATAACAGAATACCACAGACTAGGTAATTTATAAAGAAAAGAAATTTATTTCTCACAGTTTTGAAGACTGAGAAGGCTAAAAGCATGACGCTGGCATCTGTTAGGGGCCCTCACATTGTGTCATAACTTAGCAGAAAGCATCACAAGGTGAAGAAGCCCACAAGCAAGCAGAGAAAAGTTGGGAATAAGAGAGCAGCAGCATTGTCAGCTTACATAATCCTTACCTGTGTTTACTTTTGGAAGGCAGAATAGAAAATGATGATTGGAGTTTGTATGGTATGTGATCAATGAGTTTG